ACCACCCAGTCTGGGCCACACCAAAGCCAGGAGCCTGGAATTCCATCGAGGTCTCCCACATGGATACAAGGACTTGGGGCATCTTCCACTGCCTTCCCATGCATGTTAACAGGGAGCTGGGTAGAAGTGGGGCACACACAAGATGCTAGCCCCTACAGAACTTTATTATTAAGAATACTACTGGGGCCGGCACTGTGGTGCAGCGAGTTAACGCCCTGACCTGCAGTACCGGCATGCTCCACTTCTGATCCAGCTCCCTGCTGTGGCCTGGGAAAGCAGTAGAAGATGGCCCAAGTGCTTGGGCCCCTGCACCCACATGGGAGACCCAGAGGAAGCTCCTGGCTTTGGATCAGTGCAGCTCTGGCCATTGCAGCCAACTGGGGAGTGAACCAGCGGATGGAAGACCTCTCTCTCGTTCTGCCTCTCCTCTCTCTGTATAACTCTTTCAAATAAATAACTCTTTAAAAAAAAAAGAATACTATTGTTATTGAGAATTTTATTAAGCTATCACTTATCAGTCCTGTGTAAATCTTTGCTTAGGGAAGAAAAAAACCTCATTTCACAGAAAATCACAATGGAAAGTTTTGTTTCTCATTTCTTGAGAGGGTCTGAAGAAAATGGAAGCAACAATACCAGGGAAAGACTTTATAAAGAGTAGTTTTCTGGCTTTCTTAAAAACTGAGGATCACAGCTTCCGGGTGAGCGTTTCCTGGGGGGCTTGCTGCTGTGTGTTCACGTTGACCTTTCCTCCCAGGGGAATGGAGCGAGGCCAGTGACCGGGTCTGCTGAGTCCGCAGCACTCAGACTACGTGCACCTCTGCAGCAGGTGCAGGCCCAGCTGTCACCCCTCCACCACATCTCCCTGTGGATTCTGACGGCACTGACTCTTCAGACTCTGAGGTACGGATCCTTCCGACTTCCTCAGTAGTGTCTCTGATGCCTGGTAACCCTAGCCAGACAGATGAGGGCAGAGTTAGTTTTGCTGGGGTCAGAGGTGAACATCAATGATGTTCTTAGTTCCTGGAGATTTAGGACATAGAGAAAGTGGGGTCTGGGGTTGGGGGAATGAGCAATTTACTCATTATGGGACCAGTGGTAAGCATTCCGGGCAGATTCTCAACTGTATTCTGACAAGTTGTGCTCATTCCATTTTTGCCTCTTGCAGTCTGATATCCTGTTGGGCATTCTGGACAACTTGGACCCAGTCATGTTCTTCAAATGTCCTTCTCCAGAAACTGCCAGCCTGCAGGAGCTCCCAGAGGTCTACCCAGAAGAACCCAGTTCCTTACCAGCCTCCCTTTCTCTGTCAGTGGGGACGTCATCAGCTAAGCTGGAAGCCATTAATGAACTAATTCGTTTTGACCACGTCTATACCAAGCCTCTAGTCTTAGAGATACCCTCTGAGACAGAGAGCCAACCAAATGTGGTAGTGAAAATCGAGGAAGCACCTCTCAGCCCCTCACAAAATGATCACCCCGAATTCATTGTCTCAGTGAAGGAAGAACCTAGAGAAGATGACTTCATTCCAGAGCTGGGTATCTCAAACCTGCTTTCATCCAGCCACTGCCTGAAGCCATCTTCCTGCCTGTTGGATGCATATGGTGACTGTGGATACGAGGGCGCCCCTTCCCCCTTCAGCGCCATGTCCTCTCCCCTTGGTGTAAACCATTCTTGGGAGGACACTTTTGCCAATGAACTCTTTCCCCAGCTGATCAGTGTCTAAGAAATGATCTAATACTGTTCCCCTTCCCCCTAACTATTCCACTGCCTGGAGGATAGCAAAGCCCGTCTGTGCTTCATTCAGAAAGCCAAAGTAGAGGGCGTAGAGAACTCCTCTAAAGTATTTGTTCAATCTCATAGATGAGCCCAAGTACTGTCTTTTGACATTCAGCAGTCCAAGGTATTCAGATACATAATTCTGAACTACAGCTTTGGAGGTTTTAAGGGCGGTAGCTTGCCCTACAATCCTTATTTAAGTCATTAATGGACAAGTGTCTTAAAGTAGACATGGAACTTTGGAATGGCCCTGTGTCATTTCTCTCTCCCCTTCTCAGCATCCCAGGCTTGCCTCTGACTTTAGGTCCTTTAGTTTGCTTCTGCAAGCAGAGAACACCTACCTGAGGGGGCTTCAAGTAAAGATCAAGAATCTTTTGTAAAATTACAGAAATTTACTATGTAAATGCTTGATTGAATCTTTTCCTACTAGTTTAGCTTCTGGAAGGTGCTTTCTCCATTTATTTAAAACTACCCATGCAATTAAAAAGTGCAATGCAGCATCCTTGTTCTTTGATTTCTTCTAAGGCTGTAAGTTTCACCTTCTCTATAGATGTCCCACTGTGTGCTGTGGTCGTCATTTATCCAACAAAACTGAGGCTGCCATTTTTAAAGTGACTGAAGGCTTTTCTGCTTTAACTACCTGCTCCAGTTCCCGACTGCTGTATGTGATATAATCCATGATTTGAGCAGTTATCTGAGAGTTTCTTAGTCTAATTGACCATTACCACAACCACTGTTGTGCTGTGTGTTAGCTTGTAAATGTGAGAACATGCCCTCAGATATCGAGATTCATTCTCGCCATTACAATAGGGAATAGGAGCATTTTCTAGACTCAAACCCCCTGGTTTCACCTGCCACTGATGAGCTGGGCTATAACGTCACTTATTATCTACAAGGAGCGATGATAGTGCTGAAGGTCACTGAAAGGATTCAAAACCATGATGCATTATAAGGACTTAGTATACACCAGGCAGCATACTAAGCACTTGAAAGTTAGGTTTTATGTCCTAATCCATTCTGGAAGAATTTTAATCTCATTTTTTAAAAATTTATTTTTTATTTGAAAGGCAGAGTTAGAGAGAAGCAGAGGCAGAGCAAGGTCTTCCATCTGCTGGTTCACTCCTCAAATGGGCACAATGGCTGGAGCTGGGCCGATCAGAAGCCAGGAACCAGGAGCTTCCTGTGGGCTTCCCATGTGGGTACCGAGGCCCAAGGACTTGGGCCATTTTCTCCTGATTTCCCAGGCCGTAGGAGAGAGCTGGACCAGAACTGGAGCAGCTGGGACTCAAAATGTACCCAAATGGGATGCCAGCACCACAGGTGGCTTTACCCACTACGCCACAGTGCTGGCCCCTGATCTCATATCTCCTTGTTTCACAAAATAAAGCTGTTCAAAGAAAAAATCCTACAGACATTAATACAACCCCAACACAAGAAAGACTTGGTAACCCCCACCATCCTTTCCTTGGGGATCTTACAAGATATTAAAGAAATTCCCCAGATGAAGTCACTCTACCAATATAGCATCAAAATGATATATTCCACATTAAAACTACCTCTAAGCGGTCAAAGTGAATTAAGAGACCAAAGAAGGCTACAGTTTAAACCAAATATGGTGACTGAAGGTAGATCTATGAGAGTGCTTAAAGGTTAGTCAGGCTAAGATCCAGCCACTCAAGCCTGAGTCCAAGCTTGGTGTTCAGCAACACAAGCTTGCTAAGGCACTGGAGTTTCTCTAAGGATGGCTTCGAGCTGTCAGCACAACTGAAATGAAAACTTGAGAGTCAAGAATCTATTTAGGGATTTTAGAAGCAGGTGTAATTATAGATGTATTTTAGCCTCCATCATAATAGCAGGGTGAGGTTGAGGCTCAAGTAATTTACATTCAATGACATCATATGAAAGAGGCAGCTGTACATACAGGGCAGGATATACATAACCTATGTAGACTATCAGGACTTTCATTTCCTGCACAGATGGGTGAAAATTACCAAGTACTGTGCTTGGCCTTGAGAAAACACCTGTCATTCAAGGACATTTTCATAATGAAACACCAAATTGCCTGGTTAGAGCTAAAAATCACAATCTGCAAAAACCAAACCAGGATTTCCATTAAGTGCAGATACCTGAGATTAAAGATGCAGGTGACAAGACACACATCATTTCTAAAGGCTTTGCAACACCCATCTACACTTGCCTCCTTGCTTTCCTACTGAAATTACTCCTGGAGCAGAGATACTACCCACTCCAGGCATACTGTAAGGGGTCAGTTCTGTTCTAGTCTCCTAAGAACTGAATTTTTACCCTTTGGATTCCTAAAGCTCATTAAGGGACAAGAAGACCACCTTGTTCATGCCCCAGCTGATGGGAAGCATTGCCTTGGTGAGGTTCAGGTCTATTCTATGCACTATTACACCTGCATCTGCTTCATCTCTAAAATGCCACTGGTGCTCTGCGGGAAGTATGTTACAGAGTTAGGAGATTTGAACTGCATGAGCACACATAAAACTCTATTCCCTCAAGGAGTTTAGACTACCTGCACCACACTGTACTGTACAGTATCTCAGATCCAAGGTAGCAGTGCAAAGACTCTGTAAAACCAACTGGTCAAGTGGAAAGAACATTGGTAAGGTGGATTATAAAACTACATTGTTACTATCTACTTAGACTTTTAGTGTCCAAATCTATAAAATAGGTAGCTTTTAGCTATGGTTTCCAAATTTTCATTAAACACAAATAACAGTATACTTTGTCTTCTGTTAACGGCAACCCAAAAGGGGACTCCACATTTATCAAAGAATGATGGTAAATATGCAGGCAATACTGCCACCCAGTGACTACCTGACAACTTTCAGGCATGAACCACCAGATAACATCATGGAATTTTCCTATTCCTCATTTTTAAAGGTCCCAGACCTCTCTCAGGGAACTCCACATCTGAACATTTTTGAAAACTTAGTCACCACTGCTGCCTGAGTGCTGACAATCAGCCACAGTGAACTGTCCTGTGTGGGGTGGAAGCACTATATGGGTTTCTGAATGGCAAAACACAGACTGCTTCTTTTGGAAACTTTATCAATTACAGAACTTATCTCTAACCCAATAAAATCATCCCTTTAGGGTAAATACAAGTCCTTCACTGATATGAATGTTGTTTCAGCTAAAATTTAGAAGAAATACACAATTTCATTTACTTAAGTACAATAATACAAATATATCAAAAGTCCAAAACACTTAAGAAATTTTATTGAAAACAAAATACAGAAACACCAAATTCTCAAAGTAAAACTGACAGCATCTTCCAGAACTTTGCTAGTACTGCACCATTCTTGTCACTATCAAAAAATAAGACCAAGTTCTAGATCCAAAGTAACAAATGAACCTGCTGGTAAACATTCTTTTCATGGTCCTAGTTCCTACTCTAGTTATTTTTCTAAATTATACATTTGTACCTTTTCAAGAAAAAGTAGGTTTAAAAAAACTGATTAATATGTGAGAATTGGACTTACTTTCTTCATATTAAGACCCACTCCATACACACCCTACTCAAACTCAGAGAAAATATACATTGGTACTTTAAAGCTCACCTGCTTTAGGTAATTTTTTTCTCTTCACACATTAGCATAGTTAAGCCAATGTTTGATCCATGCTGCCAAAGCTGTACAAAATGAAAAGACCTGTTAATTCCCCAGGGAAACCTTAAGGCAAAAGCAAAAGCCTTTTGCTAGAAAAGAAAAAAATAAAATATAATGCAGAGGCCTTAGGACTGTGGAGACGGCTCAGATGAGTAAGCACCACAAGGAAGAAGACAGGTTTTGTACAAACATTTGCAAGGTTAAGTTTAGAAAGGAGCATCAAACATCCATTTTCCTGCAGAAATAATTATTTTAGATAGCTTGACTCCTAAACCAGTTCTGTCCAGAGTCTAATGAACAGAATCCTCACTGTCTCCTATATTTGCTCATTTGCATCGAGCCTTGTTAGGAGGCTCCTCTCCCGTCATCCTCACCACTGACATTTCTGACCAGAGGTCAGCCCAGCAGTTCCTGCAGAAGACATCTTGGTGTGTTCCGGCTCTGCTCTTTGGAAAGCTTTCAACTCCCTTTCCACCCTAACACTAGGACTAACTCCAACTCAGTCCCTTCACGTTTTTGGGTTGTATCAGATCAAACTTTCAGTATGATTTCTTTAAGGCTACAAACTTTACAAGTTGGTCCCATTAAACAATGACATCAAGGCAGGAGTTTTTCAAATGGCATGAATCAAACACTTGCACATTTCAAAAGAATACAGTTTACATTCATCTCTAAGTCTGAGATTAAGAAACTATTAGCTGGTTTCCAACTGGTTCAATACTGTTTTGAAGTTTGAATAATTTTACTGTATAGACATTAAATATTGTTTAAATATTAAACATTAAATCTTTTCCTGACTATTCAGACAGAAATAGAGAAAGAAGAACAGCAGGCAAAAGAAGAAACAGTCCAAAGAACAGACTTGAGACTTCTACGCCATCTGTAATGAGAGGCGGGAGTTCAGCATGGGTTTCAAAAATGCCTGGAAGCTGGTTCCTACTTGGTGTAAACCATGTTTTTCTACAAAAGGTATCTGATTCTTACAAAGCAGGAAGAAACCCAGAAAACAAAGAGAACTGGGGTAGTTGCCTGTTGTGTGATAAAAGGGCCAGTACTACACTATGACATTAAATCAATAGCTTATAGTGGATATTCCATAGCAATAAAGAAGCTCTCGTTTTTATTTGCACTGTGAGTCCTTGCCACGTGGACGAGCTCTTCCTGAGAATTAAAAACTTCAATCCTGGTTATCCTCAAAAGACACCTGGAGTCTGATTTAAGCACTCATGCAGATGAGGGTTTCTGCTAGCAGGAAGCTATTCGCTCCTAACTTTTAGAAGAACTATTAAGTTTAAGCACCAGACAAGTTGGCTATTCCAGTAAATCTCAATGTCACTTGCCCATACATTCTCAGTTAATATTGTTTTCAAAATTAACATTTAAAAACTCTACTTGCTCACACAAGTAAAATATTTGTTAAACTACAGAAATTCTCAATTGCTAGCTTGGCTGACACTGCACTTCCTTAGGTTTAACTAAAGGATGCATCTCTCCTAGGCGATCTGCAGATGGATTACCTCACAATATTTTAAACTAAACTATCCCTCAAAGTTAATTAAGTTGTAAACATTATGGAATAATTGGGCTTAGTCAATTATGCAAGGGAAACCAAGGAGCAACAGTAGCACACAGCAAAAAAAGCCTTGAAGGAAAAATACCTTCATGTTTTCATTGCATTTTCAGAGGCAAAGAGGAGATCATAATGCTACTGGCTATTTAATTAATACAGCTATACTGGACTGACAACTAACATACAAGTTTCATGGGCTCAGCAAGAGGTTTAAGCCCCTGCTGTCTTCCCACCTTCTCTGTAATCATATACAGTCACCACTATAAACAGCTCATATGTGCAGACTAAATCGCGACTCAACTGTCAGGGTACAGTTTTAGTAAGAGCATCTTTCTTAACCATCTTTTTCAACTCAAGGACAATAATCTTCAAGTATCTTTAGACAAAGTGACAGATAACTAAAGTCACCCTTACACAAACAGCTTCTATATTTGCCTTTGAAAAGACTAAAATCTAACATTCCTTTAAAAAGCCCCCTAGAAAACTGCTTTTCTCTTAAGACAAGCTTCCTTGGCAAAAAGTTGAATTCTATAAATGGTTACCCAAAATGAGAGTCCCACCCCAAATCACAGGTGGAGGTATTATGACACCCGTTTCATAAAATTTTCGAGTCCCTAGATAGGCAAGTAGGCTCCAGATGAACACAGAGCCTTCTAACATTTGACGTTCATGTAGAACTCGGTTTCTAGAGTTCCATTTCTTCTTCCGTATTAGCAGCTGTCTCCAAACTATTGTAAAGAGGCATCTCTGCTTGCCGGGGTTCCAAGAACAGTTCAGTTCTCCCAGGGAAGGCAGTGCCAGCAGCTGCATGCTTTGTTTGGCTCTCTCCTGCGTAGTTCTTAGCATTAGATGATGGCTTTGGCTTATCAGAAAGGAGTTCAGGGAGAGGTTTCCAGAGTACAAGCTCCATGGAAGGGCGGCTCCTAAGATAGAAAATACAGGTTCTTGTATCAAGTTTTAGAACATGAAAATAAAAGTTATATATAGAAAAGCTAGTAAATGATGCCTTAATACCTTACAATGAAGAAAATTTTTTAAAGATTTATTTATTTGAAAGGCAGAGTGAGAGAGAGAGAGATCTTCTATCTGCTGGTTCATTGCCCAAATGGCTGTAGCAGCTAGGCTGGGCCAGGCCAAAGCCAGGAGCTAGCAGTTTCTTCCAGCTCTCCCATGTGGGTGCAGGGAACCAAGCACTTCAGCCACTGCTTTCCCAGCTGAATTAGCAGGGGTTGGATCAGAAGTACAGCAGCTGAGTCTCCAACTGGCATCCATACTGGATGCTGGCATAGTAGGCATCAGCTTTACCTGCTATGCGACAACACCAGCCCCTACAACTAACAATTGATGGCATCAAAATAGGAATTTAAGACAATTCAAAGTGACTGTTAGAAAGGACAAATACATAAGATTTTACATTCTATATGTATTTTAAATCAAACCAAATGGTTATATTAGTGCTGTGATTAGAATCAGTACAGGGGGCTGGCGCTGTGGCGTAGTGGGTAAAGCTACTGCCTGCAATGCCAGCATCCCATATGGAATATGGTTCGAGATCCAGCTGGCTTCACTTCTAATCCAGCTCTCTGCTATGACCTGGGAAAGCAGTAGAATGTAGCCAAAGTCCTTGGGCCCCTGTACCCACATGGGAGACGTGAAAGAAGTTCCTGACTCCTGGCTTCGGATTGGCCCAGCTCTGGCTGTTGTGACCATTTAAGGAGTGAACCAGCAGATGAATGATCTCTCTCTGCCTCTCTGTAACTCTGCCTTCCAAATAAATAAATCTGAAAAAAAAAAAATTAGTATAACATCCCACATGAAAAATAAAGCACTTTTTTAAAGTTATAAACTAAAAAAAAAAAGTTAAAAAATTTATTTTGTTTGAAAGGTAGAGCTAGAGAGAAAAAGAATAAATAGAGATGATCTTGCACCTAATGTTTCACTCCCCAAATGGCTATAATGGCTGTGGTTGGGCCAGGCTGAAGCCAGGAGTCCCGTCTGGGTCTCCCCATGTAGGGGCAGGAGCCATCTTTCACTGTTTTCCCAGGCCATTAGCCAGGAGGTGGATCGGAAGTCGAGCAACCAGGACTCAAACTGGCACTGATATCGAGTGCCGGTTTCACAGGTGGTAGCCCAGGCACTATGTTTCAATGCTGGCACAATCTTTTATTTATTTATTTTTAAATTTTTTTAAAATTTTATTTGACAGATTGAGTTAGACAGTGAGAGAGAGAGAGAGAGAGAGAGAGAAGGAGAGAGAGAGAGAGAGAGAGAGAGAGAGAGAGAGAGAGAAAGAAAGGTCTTCCTTCCATTGGTTCACCCCCCAAATGGCCGCCTCAGCCGGAGCTACATCAATCCAAAGCCAGGAGCCAGGTGTTTCCTCCTGCTCTCCTATGAGGGTGCAGGGCCCAAGCACTTGGCCCATCCTCCACTGCCCTCCTGGGCCACAGCAGAGAGCTGGACTGGAAGAGGGGCAACCGGGACTAGAACCTGGTGCCCATATGTGATGCTGGCGCCCCAGGCGGAGGATTAACCAAGTGAGCCACGGCGCCGCCCACGGCGCCGCCCCCGGCCCCAAACTTTTAAAACTTTTAAAAAAAGAATTCTGGTTACTCTTACCAGATATAGTTGCCTATCTTGTAGTTAACCAATATAAATGAAAATGAAACACTGCACGAACATATTAAGATGCCCTTTTGTTTGGTACAGTAATAAGTGTAATGCTTTACAGTTAAGCCAAAATGATTATCACAAATACCTCCTACCCTCATGGTAGTGATAACTTCTAGAACCCAAACAAGTAAGGTAATACCCCGAAGGCTAGTTTCTGGAAAACTACCAAGAGTAAAAATTGTTCACTAGAGGCCTTTTGGCTGGAAGGCAACCTGACCTGCTTATGTTTGGCTGAACTATTTACCTGCCCTGGGTGCTGGGTTGTTAATTATAAACTCAAGCTAGGGAGTTCATGCAGAACCTGAAGCCTCTGTGTGCAAATCACTCCCACAGTATTCAAAGACAACAGTGCCCAGCAAGTGTCCTAGGAAACTTTTTCAGGTAACTAAAACATTTTTTAATTAATTAATTTATTTGAAAGTCAGAGTTACACAGAGAGAGGAGAGGTAGAGAAAGAAAGAGGACTTCCATCTGCTGGTTCACTCCCCAATTGGCTGCAGCGGCCGGAGCTGGGCCAATCTGAAGCCAGGAGCCAGGAGCTTCTTCCAGGTCTCCTACGTGAGTGCAGGGGCCCAAGGACTTGGGCCATCTTCTACTGCTTCCCCAGGCCATAGCAGAGAGCTGGATCAGAAGTGGAGCTGCCGGGACTTGAACTGGCACCCTATGGGGTGCTGGCACTGCAGCTGGAGGCTTTACCCACTACACCACAGTGTCAGCCCCATAACCGAAATTTACTCTGAGTACCAAATCAGCTTCAATTCTTGGAACAGCTCAATAGCACTGTATAATCTGCCTACTACTATACACAGCGGATAATGACAACTTGAGATCATCTAGGCTCAAGGACTTCAAGAGTATGGGGCTAATCATTAGTTCCTAGGTTAAATGGCCCCAGCCCACTTTGCTTTTTAGGTTCTTGTGTTGCTTTCCCATTTCCCCTCTTGTCCTCACACTGTGGTCAGTTTCTACTTGGAGTTTGTTCTGTACTCATTTGTTTCTTCTGATGATCTAGGAGACCACATTACTGAGCTCATGAAACTGCTTTAAATTAAGGGCAAAATACCTCTGCTAAAAGCCCTGAGGGGCTATGCTATGCCAAGAATATAAACTTTGGTTTACAGCCTTTGTGATAACTATCTTTTTTTTTTTTTTTTTTTTTTTTGACAGGCAGAGTGGACAGAGAGAGAGAGAAACAGAGAGAAAGGTCTTCCCGTTGGTTCACTCTCCAATGGCTGCCGTGGCTGGCGCGCTGCGGCCAGTGCACCGCGCTGATCTGATGGCAGGAGCCAGGTACTTATCCTGGTCTCCCATGGGGTGTGGGGCCCAAGTACTTGAGCCATCCTCCACTGCACTCCCAGGCCACAGCAGAGAGCTGGCCTAGAAGAGGGGCAACCGGGACAGAATCCAGCACCCCAACCGGGACTAGAACCCGGTGCGCCAGCGCCGCTAGGCGGAGGATTAGCCTAGTGAGCCGCGGCACCAGCCTGTGATAACTATCTTGACTGCTATGAAACACAGTGGTGCTTCTAGGTAACTGAAATAACTAAGTAGACTAGAAATGTGGTTTTAAATGTGCTTCTAGGGGCTAGTGTTGTGCCCAGCGGGTTAAAGCCCTGGCCTGAAGCACCGGCATCCCATATGGGTGCCGGTTCTAGTCCCGGCTGCTCCTCTTCCCATCCAGCTCTCTGCTGTGGCCCAGGAAGGCAGTGGAAGATGGCCCAAGTGCTTGGGCCCCTGCACCCGCTTGGGAGACCCGTAAGAAGCTCCTGGCTCCTTGCTTCAGATCGGTGCAGCTGCGGCCATTGCAGCCAATTGGGGAGTAAACCAGCAGATGGAAAATCTCTTATCTCTGTCTCTTCCTCTTTCTCTCTGAAAATTCTGCCTTTCAAATAAATAAATACATCATTTTAATTTAAAAAAAAAATTTTTTTTTTGACAGGTAGAGTTATAGACAGTGGCTTTAACCCACTGTGCCACAGCAACGGCCCCTACTTTAAAAAAAAAAAAGGCCGGCACTGTGGCTCACTTGGTTAATTCTCTGCCTGCAGCACTGGCATCCAATGTGGGCGTCGGGTTCTAGTCCCAGCTGCTCCATTTCTGATCCAGCTCTCTGCTATGGTCCAGGAAGGCAGTGGAGGATGGCCCAAGCCCTTGGGCCCCTGCAGCCGTGTGGGAGACCTGGAAGAAGCTCCTGGCTCCTGGCTTCAGATCAGTGCAGCTCTGGCCATTGTGGCCACCTGGGGAGTGAACCAGCAGATGGAAGACTTCTCTCTCTGTCTCTACCTCTCTCTGTAACTTTTTCAAATAAATAAAATAAATCTTTAAATAAAAAAGATTGGACGATGGTATACAGAAACGATAGGTTTTCCGTCCAAGAAATAATTAAATGGAAATCAGGCACCAAAACTTACATGGACTCAATCATCTTCTTTGTAAAGACTTCATCAAATTCCCTCTTCAAACCTGTTTTCATGGTATCAGAAAGGACAAGACTGGGGAGGTGGTTAACATTTCTGTCAGCTTCAACTTCTTCATCTTCATCAATTATCCTAAATAAATTAAGGCAGCAGAAGCAGAGAAAGAATAGTGAGGTGGATATGGGCTAGGCAGGGAGTTAGTGAATGAAAGAGCTGAGAGGTTTTGGCAGTCTTTGTGTCTCTACCCTGTAACACTGAAAACTCCACCCTCTTCCATGCCAAATTCAACATATCCAATTTCCCATGATGCACCTCAGTCTCCTCCACCACAAAGATGCCACAGTGAATAAGTATATGTTGAGCCCTGTGTAGAGATGCCATAAAACTTTCCCAGAGATGCTTCCCCTTCCCCAGGCAAGAGAGAAGCCAAACTGGAGTGTGCGCAATTCTCCTCAAGGGGCCGCCCCCATTTACTTCTGAGTGTGACCTATCTCTTTAAGTAAACCCTGATCCCATTCTGGAACTTTACCTATGTCTCTGCTTTTAATTCAACTCCTATGCCAAGACAAGAACCCTGGAATCAGTCTAGCTGGGGACCCCCTTTCAATCAAATTTGAGAAAGGTGTTCTGGAAAACGATCTTGTATTTAGTACAATTCTGTAAGAACTCACTTTAAAGCTGCACACTTTGAATTCCCTGAGTTTTACATTCTTTCTGAGAGGTTAAAGATTAAGACACCACCAAATGATGAACTAGACTAGCTTGCAAGAGTTGCACAGAACAGCAGTGAGCCATTTACCTGTCCTCAATCTCCTGAAGCCTCCTTCGGGCAGCTTCACACTGGGCTTCTCCAGTTGTCTGATCCATTTCTTCACAAACGACATCTAACATGCCAGGGACGGAAAGGTCACTAGGGCACGGCCTGACTCCAGGACCCTCCACATTCTGCTGTGCACAAAGAATCCAGTCATTAGGACCAGCACAGAGCTCTGCTTCAGTTAGCCTTTTTTTCCTTACTGGACAACTAGAAGAGAAAAAGGAGAGAGAGAAAGTTCGCTCATTTGTTCAATGAAAATTCCAATATAAAGCAAACATATATCATGTGTTTCAAATTAAATGAATATAAGAAAAAACTAGTTTTGATGGAGTGTGATTACAACATGGAAAATCACGCATTTTTCTCCATCACTCTTATAGCCTCCCTAAGATGTTTTCTTCTACTGATCATTGTCAAATTAGGCTGTACCTGCAAAATCTTGTCTTTTTAGATTTTAAAGCTTCAATATGGGAACTCAGAAGTCATTTCTACTGATCTCACTCTGGAAAGGTCAAGTGGGAAGTAAAGAACCAAATATCACAAAGAAGCCATTCAGCACCAGTTATATTTTGTCACATAGCTGCTGCACGATCAAATATATGGGAGATGGTCTGGCATCCATTTTTCATTCCTTCACAACAAAAACATATGCCTCAGCCGGTGCTGCGGCTCACTAGGCTAATCCTCTGCCTAGCGGCGCCGGCACACCAGGTTCTAGTCCCAGTCGGGGCGCCAGATTCTGTCCCGGTTGCCCCTCTTCCAGGCCAGCTCTCTGCTGTGGCCCGGGAGTGCAGTGGAGGATGGCCCAAGTGCTTGGGCCCTGCATCCCATGGGAGACCAGGAGAAGCACCTGGCTCCTGCCTTCGGATCAGCGCGGTGCGCCGGCCGCAGCGTGCCAGCCACGGCAGCCATTGGAGGGTGAACCAATGGCAAAGGAAGACCTTTCTCTCTGTCTCTCTGACTGTCCACTCTGCCTGTCAAAAAAACAAAAAACATAGGCCTCACCAGATCTGTTCCAAGAACTGCAGAGACAGGTGGTATCACTGATTTCTTGGTCTCCTCCAATATATCAGGGACTATCTTTAGGTTCTATCAGTCCCCAACCAATAATGGGGTCCTACCTTGCAAATGCTCCATTTCTTGGAAAAATTTGTACTTCATAGGTGTCTTACGATTCATCAAATTCAAATTCTTTCTTTTGCAGAGTTGGAAAAAAGAACCTAGAAAATCTAAACTGGCTCCTCCAAAGTGTTGCCATAGTGGAGTTGAGTGTTGGCAACCACATTCCAGAGTTCCTGAACCCTACCTACCTCTATGCCATTTCTAAATCCTCCCGCCTCCTCAGAGGTGGTTCAGCTGTTCCAGCCTGTACTATGAACTAGTATTTGTAAGCACTACAATACGCTGAAAGCTATCTGAACCAAGCTAAATGGACACCTGGCTCTCTTCTATTTAAGTATTTAAACCAAAAGTATGTTATTGCCTGACATCAGCAAGCACAATCTCAAGACCAGAATACAGCTCTGTAAACAAAACAAAACAAAACAATCATTAATGGCCACCACAGCTCCTGATTCTCTAAACTGAGAATCAAAGGAAGTAGTCTTTTTACAAGGGGAAATTTCTGTATTATGTCAAGAATGCGGACATCAACATTAGTCTCCAGCTGTATAAAACCTGACAACCAAGAATGTCCTCTTCTATCTAATTTTTGATAGGAATCAACTCTCAAATAAAGTGATGGGTTTATCGTTAGTTTTAATTCCTAAGAAAGTATTAAGAATGTTTAGTTACATACTGAATATTTCTATAACATTTGAATAAAGTGATGTTTTAGAAACAATAGTTATATATGTAAAAATGCATTTAAGAAAAAGGAGAATAAATCTAAAAGGAATAGGCAATTTCCTAGCACATCTAAAAACTCAGCTATGAAATTACGAGTGTAAAAGTTGGGTTCTGCTCTCTAACATGATTCAGCTATTTTGTGCCTGGTGGTCAACTTTGGAAATAGAGATCAGTAATGCCCTCTCTTCAAAACGTAATATAATATAGAAGACTCATAAGATTGGTAATAGCTATGAAGGTAGCAGCCAGGCAGCAAACATTTGGCCACTGGACATTCAAATGTCTAGTCTTATCCTCCCAGCATCTCAATCTCCATTTGCAAATTAAAGGTGGTTGACTTTTTAAGCCAAAAACTTTCACACTTTAAACTTTTTTATTTATCTCAGAGCTGGGACCCCTTACCTAGTAAGATCTTAGGGCAAACTTCTAAAGGTAAAAGCAAAAAGGTCCCTATTTTATCCACAGCAAGAGTATAACTATTTGGGCAGACATACAGCTGTGTTTAAGATGCACCTTGGGATGCACAAAGCCCATACCACACCGCCTCAGCTGCATCTCAGCTGTGCTTCTGATTACACATTCACACACCGGGAAGCAGCAGGTGATGGTTCAAGAACCTGAGTCCCTGCCAACCACACGGGAGACCCTAATCGAATTCCTGGCTCCTTACTTCAGCCTGGCCCAGTATGGACTGTTACAGGCATTCGGGGAGTGAACCAGATTAAAGATCTTTGCTTCTCTGCCTTTTAAATAAAAGGAAAATAGATTTTAAAAAAATTAATATTTATATTTTATTTGAAAGGCAGAGTTGGGCCAGGCCAAAGCCAGTAGCCCAGAACTCCTTCTGGGTCTCCCAAGCACTTGGGCCATCTTCTACTGCTTTCCTAGGCACATTAGCAAGGAGCTAGATTAGAAGTGGAGCAGCCAGGACTCAAACCAGCACCTATATGGGATTCCGGCATCGCAGACAGCAGCTTAAAGACAGCAGCTTAACTTGCTGTGCCACAAAGCCAGCACCCATAGATAAAAATATTTTTTTAAAAATCACAAATATTATCTGGTCCAGTGGTTTTAAATTAAGGCAACTTGGGGTCAGCATTGTGATACAGCAGGTAAAGCCTCTGTCTGTGACGCTGGCATCCCATATGGGTGCCAGTTCAAGTACTGGCTGCTATACATTCTGAAGCAGCTCCCTACTAATGGCCTGGGAAAAGCAGCAGATGACCCAAGTGCCTGGGCCCCTGCACCCACATGGGAGACCCGGATGAAGCTCCTGGCTCCTGGCTTCAGATTGGTCCAGCTCTGATTGCTGTGGTCATTTGGGAAGTGAACCATTGGATGGAAGATCTCTCTCTGTAACTCTGACTTTCAGATAAATAAATAAATATTTAACAAAATTTTAAAAATACATTAAGGCAACTTCTAAAGAAACTGATGAATTTATGTAATCAAGTTTCTGATGGCAAAAAAAGGTCAAAGCTGAAAGATAAAGGACAAATTTGAGGACATTATTTGCAACATACATAATAAGCTGCTAACTTCCCTATAAACCACTGAAAAGACCAATAAACTAATAAAAATGTGTAGAAACAAGAATTCACACAAAGTTAAACACCAAAATATTTACTACCACTTATAATGAACAAATACAAACTGAGAGTTTACTTACTTCTTTCACCTTTTTAACTATAAGAAACCTACACATGGACTGGCTGGCCTAGCAGTTAAGATATCTCAATATCACTCATAATGAATAAATACAAACTGAAATACTAATCTAACTCTGTTCACTTCTTTAACTATAAAGCCCTATGCAGCTGTTTGGTCTAGAAGTTAGGACACTGGTTGGGGCACTTGACTCCCATACTGGGTAGCCTAGGTTTGAGTCTAGGCTCTACTTTTGAATTCTTGCTTCCTGCTTAATGTGCACTGTGGGAGGCAGGAGATGATGGTTCACGTACTTGGGTCCCTGCCACTCACGTGAAATACCCCAGTTTGAGTTCCTAGTTCCTGGTTTCAGCCTGGCCCCAGCCCTGGATGTCATAAGCATTTGGGGGAGCGAACCAAAGGATAGAAGATCTGTATGTCAAAACAAAACATTTTTAAAAACAACAATTTGGGAGACCTATAATCTATACTGGGTTGGCTGGGTTCAAGCCTCAGCTCTGGACTCCAGCCTCAGCTCTGGACTCCAGCTTCTTGTTAATACACACTCTAGGAGCAGCAAGTGGTTGGACCCTGGAAGGCCAGGATTGCATTCTCACCTCCTAGCTTTAGCCACTGTAGGCATTTGGTGAGTGAACCAAATCAGTAATACACAGGTTAATCACTCCTAAACAATTAGAGAATTATACTGTACACATTCTTGTGATGTTTCTTTTGCTCATATTATAAGACACATGATGTTGATAAGTATAGCTTTTGTTTTTCCTGTATGGAACTCTACTGCACAGATTCATAATGTATTTCATCTGTTTCACTGCTCAATGACATTTGGGACGTTTCCAGTTTGGAATTCTCATGACCAAGGAAGCTAGGAACTGCCTTGTCTCCTGGTGCACATGTCCATGAAGCTCTCTAAGTACATACTCAGGAGGGAAGGTGTTTGGTAAGCAGGTAGGTATGTGTGCCTTCAACTTTATTAGACAAGATCAAGCTGTTTTTCAAAGTACATGTACTGAGTTATGCTCTCATTCAGTGTCTGAGTGTTCTCCGTGTGCCATATGTGCCACAGTATCTAGCGGGAGAGAGCTCTGTGGCTTTGCTATACACTTCCCCAGAGACTGATATGGCTGAACACTTTTTCATTTGATTGGTAATGTGAAAATTACTCTCTGGGGAATTTTCTTATTCCCTTTGCTATTAGATAGGCTGTCTATGAGATGTAATTTTTCAGCTACCAGTTGATCTCTGATAAAATTTTTTTTTAAAAAAGTAGGAGTGTTCAGCCTAGCAGTTAACACCGGTGCTGGCACACATCGAAGGGTGCCTGGGTTCCTTATTCAGCTCTAGCTCCGGACTCCACCTTCCTGCTTATGCAGACCTTGGGAATAAGCAGTGACGGTTCAAGTAACCCAGTTCCCGCCACCATCACAGGAGACTTGGAATGCGTCCCAGGTCCCAGCTTCAGCCCAGCTCAGTGGCAACCACTGCAGGCATGTGGACAGTAAAGCCACAGATGGCGGCTCTGTTTTCTCTACCTCTCAAAATAAAGTGCAATTCTCTAAGAAAAATGGAAAAATGGGTATTTTTCACTGCAAGTATAAATTGTTCAAATTTTAAACGGCACACACTTTATGTCCCAGCAATTCTGCAACAAGGAATCATCTACTTGCAAACATACATAAGAGACTTGAGAAGTATATTCACAATAAATTGGTTAACTGCAAAAAGTCAGAAATGACTTAGAAATTCATCGTTAGATGACTAGCTAATTATGCATACCTAGTCCTGTAACAGAACCCCACTCAACTGCTGAAGAATTAGCTAGAGCTATTTGCTGACGTAGAACCACAGGAGTAAAAAGATCAACCGGGTCACACAGGCCAGACAGCATCTTCCCAGCAAAGTGAAGACCCAGAGGCTTACACAATCCCAAATCCGACAGTTTTGAGACTGTCTTCCAAACAGGAACCAGGTAAGACGGTGGCTGCCTCTGGAGAGGAGACCTGGGTACATGGAGTCTTTATGACTTTTCAACAAGTGCCTTTGAATTCTTTTACAGAATGCTAGCATGTTTAAAAATTCAAACAATTACAACCCCTTCCAGAGGGAACACTTCTCTCCGGACTCCTCTGCCAGCCACTCACTGTCCCTAAAAGGCAACCGATGTTCCCGACTTCCTGGGCCTCCGTCCAGAGACACACCTAACTTCTTTTTTTTTTTTTACCTTTTCACTTTAGTTAGTTTAGTTTAGGCCCGGGGTTAACTTAAGAGCGACTATGCAGGGACTAAGAGACCGCCGAAACTTACTCCTCCTCCTCTTCCTCCTCCTCCCGCTTGTGCTTCTTTTTACAATGAACCGAGACACTGTTGAAACAAAACAAACGCAGGTCAGTCCGTGCAGAGCTCCGCGCGCGGTTACACACCGGAGCATCACTTCTCCCTTGCTCCAATCGGCTCGCGCACCCCGTTCCTGGCCGAAAATACCGGTCACGGGGTCAGTCGGGTCACGCCGGCGGCCCCCGACGCGGCCACAACCGCAGCCAGCGACATCTAAACTTGTCATTTCGGCGAGGTAACGGGGGGTTGGCGGGGAGCGAGGCAGGGCCGCCAGTGCGTGCTAAGCTCCTCCGGGACCCCGCCACGGCGGGCAGCGGCCCCGGTTCCGTCCCCCTCTGCTCCGCCGACCTGAGGCAACCGAGGGTCCGCGAGAGGCTCCCCAAGTTGTCACCGCGCCGCGCTCCGGCGGGGGGCGCGCCGAGAGGGCACCCGGGCTCCGACCGGGAAAGTCTCACTTGTCCTACGGGACTCCCCGCGGGGTGCGACCGCAGGCGACTTGCGGTTAACGTCGCTCTCTCTGGGGAGCAGCCTCCTCAGCTCTCCACGGGGCTGAGAAGCCGCCCGCGCACGGCCGCGGGGAGTCAGCCCGCCCGGCCGCCCGCCCGCCCGGCCGCCCGCCCGGCTCCTCACCGTCCGCGCGCCGCGCTCCCGCAAGGGCTGCTCGGGGCGACGCGGGGTCCCGGCCGCGGGACCAGCTCGGCGCCCTCAGCTCCCGGCGGGAAGGCCCGGCCGGGGAAGGCCGGCGGCGGCTGCAGGAACTCCGAGGCGCCGCTCAGGGGCAGGCCGCTGAAAGGCCGGCCGAGCGCGGCCATGGCCGGCGACACAAGGAGGCTTCGTCCGCGGCCCCCGCCACCCGCGTCCCCAGGCCCGGCAGCTGCGGCCACGGCGACTGCCGAGAGGCGCCCGCCTCCGAGCCCGCTCCGACCCCACGTCACGCCTTCTAGAACCCTCCACCCCGAGCCGCCCAGGGGGCATGCCGGGATTTGTTGTGTGTGGCGGGCCGCTACCGCGAGCGATGCCGGGAGTTGCGGTCCTCGGGAACTACAAACATTATGGCTGCCTCTTGACTTCGTCGTTGGGGCTTTGAGGTAAATCCTCGGTTCGAATCCTCCCTGAGGAAGAGGTGTAACGTCTGTGTCCCTCAGTTGTGAAAAAGGAGAATAACTCTGTTGGATGTGAGGAGTAAATGATTTCAAACATTCAGAGCCCTCAGAACACTGCTTGGTGCACCGGGATCAATTTTGACTCCTTCTGTTTAAATGAAGTTGGTGATGCCTCAGAGGGAACGGTGTCATCAGTGGAAGCGTCAGACCGCTTGAGGGGGGTAATGGCGGAGCGGATAGCAGAGACTGTCGGCTCCGATCACGTGACCGGGCGCCATGTTTTTCCGCCTCAGGGAATGGCACCGTCTTGCAGTCTGGGCCGCTTATGCCAATGTCAGCGCCCTTCCGGGAAAGAACAAGACATCTGTGATTGAGCCAAGATGGGTTCATTGATTAACTGAAGTGAGGGAGAGGGCTCTTGATGAGATCTGGGCTGGTGTTGGCTGATTTAGGGGAAAGGTTCACAAAAGCAGCCTTGCTCAGGAATTAATACAGTCAAGAAGCAGAGATAATGGTGAGGTTGGTATTTTTATCTTTTCTAGACACTAGGAGGAGTGAAGGGAGGCCAAACCTGGATGTTCCATCATTTTTGTGGTTTGGACAATGTTCATGTTTTTATCTGTGCTCAGACATGATTACCATGTGGTCTTGTTTTTAGCTTGCTCTGTGAAGGTCACATGAAATTACAAAGGAACTTCAAAAGGTTCATGGAAAAATGAAATTTAAAGATGTTTATTTTTGTGCACAAACTTTTGAAATCCATGCATAGTTTGCTCATAACACACATTTTTCATGAACTTTTTGAAGACCCCTTGTGTACATGAATTTCATTTTTTTGCACCAAAATAAACTTAACCTTTTTTCAAGTCAGTGTCAAGTTCCTTTTAAAAATTTTTGTCTTTAAAAATTTTTCATTTTTTTCAACCTGAAAAGCAGAGAGACAAACACATAGAGAGAAAGAGATCTCCCAACTGATTAGTTCCCAAATGTCCCCAAGGCTGGGACTGGGCCAGGCTGAAACCAGGAGCCAGGAACTTAGATCAACCCCCACTTAGTGGGTGACAGGGACCCAACTACTTGGTTCAATATTGCATTAGGTTTGCCTGTTTCACAAACATGTTTTGGTCTCATATGGGTTCCCCACCCCACCCCCCTTTTTATGTATTTGTTGATTAATTGGACTTTCTGGACTTGGGCATGATCCTTGTGAGCACTGATGGATGATGAGCCACATATATATGGCTTCTCAGGTCCGTCAACATGAGAGCTTGGAACACAGGATGAAAGACATGGCAGGGACCAGCGCTGTGGCATAGTGGGTAAAGCTGCTGCCTGCAATGTCAGCATTCCATATGGCTACTCCACTTCCAATCCAGCTTTGTACTATGGCCTGGGAAAGCATACAAGATGGCCCAAGTTCTTGGGCCCCTGCACCTGTGTGGGAGACCCAGAAGAAGCTCCTGGTTCCTAGCTTCGGATCAGCTAGGCTCTGGTCATTGTGGCCAGTTTGGGAGTGAACCAGCAGATGGAAGACTCTCTCTATATATAATTCTTTCAAATAAATAAAAATAAAATCTTAAAAAAAAAAAAAGACAAGGCATATACTATCACTTACAGGTAAGCATAAGTACCACTGAGTGTGTAAACAAGTGGGACTTTGCAGAGGGACTGGGATATCCGTGTTACTATGACCCCATAGGATCCATCATCGCTTGCCTGCTGGAGTCTCCCAGCTGATCTCTCTGTCACCACTCCTACCCCTCCAGCACACTAGCTACCCTCTTACTCCTGGGACAAGGATTAATCTGCAAATTCCTCAGCATCCCTCTCCTGCCTACCTCTCCAGCTTCGTCTCCTCCCACTCTCTACTTGATCTGCCCATCCAGCTGTTTGGATTTCTTTTTTTCCCCATTTTTTAATTGAATTTCTATCAGTTCCCCTGACCTCCAAACTTTTGCATACATTTGTCGCTCTTCCTAGTTAAAAACTGCCATCTTTTGCTTCCAAACAGAGCTTCCCACTATATCAGATATTTGTGGTTGGGGGTGAGTGTTTGGCGCAGCAGTTAGGATGATGCTTGGGACACTGCATCCCCTATCCAAGTGCCTGGTTCAGGTTCTGGCTCTTCCACATCTGATCTAGCTTCCTACTAATGCATACTTTGGAAGGCAACAGGTGATGGTTCACGTACTTGGGTCTCTGCCTTCCATGCAGGAGACCTGGACTGAGTTTCAGGCTTCTGGCTTCAGCTTGGTCCTGCTCTGGCTATTACAGGCATTTGTGGATTAAATCAACAGATGGAAGATCTCTCTTTGATTCTCTCTGTCTCCTCTTTGCCTTTCAGATTAAACGAAAATACATAAATTTAAAAACTTTAAAAATGTGTGTGGTGCTTTTGGATCCAGCGGGAGGAAGGCAATATAAATTGCAGGCAGTGGAGAATGGTTCTACTTTAAATTCTTGGGATACTTATCTGTGGAATGATTTCTATTAGTAGGCAGAAAAAACCAGGAAGTTCAGGACTTTCACATAGCTTGCTGGAGTCAACATGAATGAGAATGCCCATGATGCCTCTTTTTGGTGCCCTTGACTGGGACAGAACAAATAGGCAATTGGTCTGAGCAGTGAAGTATTTCCCTTGTTTCCATTTGGTTTCAAGGAACAATGGAAGGGCCTTTGAATGGTTTCTTGGTCATTCATTATACTTTGTTCTCATAGCCTTTTACATACGTCTAAAAAAATAAAACCACAGTTAATTATGTTTCACCAAGAGACGTTTTCTCCCTGCATGGCACTACGATATGGCCTAAATTTTTCTTTACTATTTCTATGCCGATGGGGTTACAGAATGTGGGTGCTGGCAGTGGCCCATCACAGGGCTGGTATGGACCTCTCCAACTACAGCACACATTCCTGGTGTGGTTTGGAGATTTAATCAAAGGCCACCCTTCTCAGGCAGCTCCTACAAATGCTTTCATTCACTCTTCTTAATTCTAGAGGTTTCTGCTTCTTAATATTATACATGCTAGAATGGGTTTTTCATTAATAAAATAAGTGGCGTTTAAGATATGTAGATTAGGGGTCTGCATTTTGGCATAGTGTGTAAAGCCGCCACCTGCAGTGCCAGCATCTCATAGGGGCGCTGGTTCGAGTCCTGGCTGCTTCATTTCCGATCCAGCTCTGCTATGGCCTGGGAAAGCAGGAGAAGATCGCCCAAGGCCTTGGGCCCCTGCACACGTGTGAAGACCTGGAAGAAGCTCTTGGCTCTTTGCTTTGGATCAGCTCAGCTCTGGCCGTTGCAGCCAATTGGGGAGTGAACCAGCAGATAGAAGACTTTTCTCTCTCTCTCTGGGCCTCTCCGTAACTGTCTGCCATTCAAATAAATAAATCAATCAACCTTAAAAAAAAAAAAAAAGATATGTAGGGGCTGGCGGTGTGGCACAGCAGGTTAACACCCTGGCCTGAAGCGCCAGCATCCCATATTCGCGCCGGTTCGAGTCCTGGCTGCTCCATTTCCAATCCAGCTCTCTGCGATGGCCTGGGAAAGCAGTAGAGGATGGCCCAGGTACATGGGTCCCTTCACCCATGTGGGAGACCCAGAAGAAGCTCCTGGCTCCTGGCTTTGGATCGGCGCAGCTTTGGCCATTGCGGCCAACTGGGGAGTGAACCAGCAGATGGAAGACCTCTCTTTCTCTCTCTCTCTCTCTCTGTGTAACTCTGACTTTCAAATAAATAAATAAATCTTTTTTAAAAATGTAGATTAACCAGAATTATCTTAGTGTCTTCATCCTAGCATTCATAAGGCATAAAAATCTAGTGAGCCCTTTCTCTTCCACACTCAAGATCCTAGCTTTGATTTTTTTCTAAACTTTTATTAATTTATTAGACAAGGAGAGGGAGAGAGAGAGAATGCACTGTCATCTACTGGCTTACTCTCCAAATGCCCATCTGGACTGAGGGCCAAAGTTGGGAGGTGGGAACTTTCCAGGGGTCCCATGTGTGTGGCAGGAACCCAATAACTTGAGCCATCATTGCTGCCTCCCAGAGTTTGCATCAGCAGGAAGCTGGAATCTGACTTCAGAGCCAGGACTCAAACCCAGGCACTTTGATATGGTACTTAGGAGTCTTAACCAGTAGGCCAAAACACTCACCCTACCCAGGTTTGATTCTCAAATAATCCTGTGCCTCACTGCGTTAGGGAGAGTTCTTGGTCAAATGGTGCTGCTGGAAAATTTTTCACTAGTCCCAGACGAACCTTTTGTGTAAGGGGATTTTAGAGAAACAAAGAAGAATGGAGCTGGGACTTGGAGTTTCTAGAATAGTTTGTATGGCTGTTTGGTGCTTTCTTGTCAACTGTGTCGCTCCCCCTCTTCGTGGAGGAGCAACACTGAACCCTGCGCTGTTCTTTCGTCTGCTCGGCCCTCCCCGGGTTTGCTGCTGGTTCTTCCCGGGTTGGCTACTATCCCTTCCACCTCCGTGGAAGGGCAGTTCCCCCTGGCCGCATTCCCCACTTCCGCAGGGGAGCGGCACACCACCGGCCGGCTCTTCTCGGGGGCTGCACGGGTTCCCTTCAGCTAGATGTTCCCCATAGATGTTCCTGGTGCATGCCGTCTCTCTCCTCCTTTATAGTCCTCCTCCGCCAATCCCAACTCGGCTGAGTACGCTGCTCTCCAATCAGGAGCAAGTCCTACAGTTAATTGGTTGAACTGGAGGCAGCTGTGCGGAAGCTGTTTACTTCTCTCCCAGCGCCATATTGTGGGAGAGCAGATGCATAGAATAAGTCTTAATTCCAGTAACAGTCTAGTCCGGTTTGCTCCCCACAGATCCCCCTTTCTTTTTATTTTTGGCGTTGATACGCGCCTGTCTTCGG